GAAAAATTGTGAACTTGAAATGAAATCTTTGCTTGAATGGAGCTTTAACTTTTAGTGATTGAGATGGCACTAGATATCATTAAAAGAAAGAAAATGAATGACTGTAAATGGAGAAAACCAATTATATGTGGTGCGACATCTGGGAGATTGAAGAGGAACTTCACTACATAGTTGACATCATTTGGCACCTAAAAGCACATCGCCTGTAAATAGACCGTGTGCACCTGTTGGGTGATCAGTCACCTGTTGGGTGACCTCGCCTGATTGATTGTGCTGATGACCTCTAACCAACATTCTGAGGCTCAATGAGTAATTTGAGCTTCATGAGTAGTTTCAATTCATAAGTGCCTTTCATACCTTTGATAGAGCATTCTTTGCTCTGTAAAATATAGTATCCGGTCTTTCGTATTGTTTGCTCTATATGTTTTTGAGTAAAAGGGACTGACAAGCCTACTAGGGTGAACCTTATCGGCATCCTTCCCGTTTTTACATTTGATCAAATAGTTGAAACAGTAGTAACCCTTCCGCAACGTGTTCCGTCAAGAACTTGCGAGAGCGTAAATAGTTTTGCATTAATGTGTTTTTTCTGATATGCTAATGTGGGGGGGGGGGCGAAGGCCTGCTTCTGCTTATCGAGGAAATCTTATGTATCTGTGCCATGGTACTCGCATCCACTTCTTCTGTCTCGGCTGAGAAGACTTTACCTAAATGTGACTCGCCGGAAGTGTCTTTTTTTGGCCCGCCTGTATATCCTGTGCGCCTATTCGTGTCCGAGGACGATCATATTTACATAAGAATCACCAGATTCACACAGCAGGGTCTTTTATTGTGAAACTCCACAACGATAAACTTTTTCGTGTTCATGTCAGATTCCTAAAAGAACTGAAGCGCCACGTGACTTTGGTAGATATGTCTTTCTTGTTAATACTTCTTTACGTACCAGTGTCTGGGAATAGGATTCATGAGTAAGCATGCGACTTGATTTCAAGTCGGCTGCCTCCTGCAGATCACATGTTGTTATGGAAAACAAGCGTTGAACGAAAATTGAATAGAACGAGTTGTGTCATTTTTTGGTTCCTCTGGGAGGTTCATATGGGAGCTTCTCATTCGTACATTTGACCCAATTGCCAGACGATTTCCATAACCCATCACAAAAAGAAGTATTCTGAGGGAGAGCTGCTAGGAGGAGCTATTAGGTTGTTGCATAAGTTTTTTTCTCCCCTCTTTTGATCCTTCCGTATTTTGTTTGCATGAAGATTGGTATTTCTTCATCACGCGCGCGTGACGCTGTGCATCACACTATTTCATCAGACTAGCCATCGCTCACCCATCCTGCATTTGCAGGCTACAATGCCGCACAATTACCACTGTGAAATCATGTCACAATGGTGATTGTGCGGCATTGTGGCCTTCTTCGAGTCCCAGCCCCCGTCCTTCTGGGGCGACGGAATCGACAAGCTGCCTGAGCGTTGACGTTGAGTAGTGAATGGTGGTGGTGCATACCTCTGATCTTCAGGCTGGTTCGCTGTTGAGATATTTACAAAAAAGTTGGAGAAAAAATTATGCAACAACTCAATAATATCTAGAAAGCGTATTATCTCACGAGAAGCCGCTTCGAGATCCTGTCGTAAATACATTTACTAATCTACAGTTGCAGAATATTCAGTCAAAATTTGGAAATCATCGAAGCAGTCGCAATATTTTTGGTTTATTCTTCCAAAGTCAGTAATGAATGAATCTCGAGCTACATAGCGTTGAAGCAGTTTTTTTACCCAATTGTAGTATACCCCTAGTACTTGCTAATGAGTTTGAACCATGTTTTTCTCGAAATTTATGACTGCAGAAGGCGCTCTACTCTGAGCAGTAGTGGCCTGCACCTTGCCTTCACTCTGTTTTTTTACGGTAGTCTTATCGAAGCCAGTGTCAAAACCNCTTGAGCGCGCTCTTCNCGAATATGTTGATAGTCTGTTTTTTGAAAAGCTCAACCGAGCCAGATCGAGATGCAGCCCAATCACACTGGAATGGCGAAGTTTGCGACGGCCAATGATGTCTCCACGAAATCAGAAGTTTGGCTCACGCATGATGTCTCACGACAATCACCTCAGTTAATTGGAGGCCGATTTTCAGAATTTCTCAGAAAGCGCCGAAAAAAGCAAAAGTTCCATGACCCAGTCAGATTCGTCAGGGTTAGAGCTGCTCACTATCTGTTCTCCCGAATAACTTTGTTCGATTGCTTTGAACTAATGGCTGAATTACGGATACAAGGAAAAGAAAACTGTCGTCTGACCAAGCGTTTAGGATCGGCCCTTGTATACCCAGCACTGTCATCCAACAGTTCAACGTCAGGTAGTGCGGCCTGACTGCGCGCAGTTGATTGAAAATACGTGACCTTCACGACGTTAGATGACTCATCGCTTACTCTGCACAAGGTTAAGCTCGTTATTCATCGAAAGGCCGAGGCAGTATAATGTACAAGGGGGGGGGGCAAAAAAAAGTCACTTCGACTGAGTCCACATAATCAGCAGAGTTTTTCGCTGCCACAGACAAAGGACGTGGATACGAGTACCGAGGGCGAGAGACTACCTGAGATGTTCCTTTACAAGCAGGAGCTGGCTCTCGCCCATCACCTTCATGTACGCCAAAACATGAAGTCATCTCCAGTCGCAGCCTGACTTTAAAAGACCTTTGGAATTCACGTCACCTCCAAACAGGAAACTTCTAGCATGGAGTCACCCATGGATAGCTACCTGGAGTTCAGTACTCTCAATCTGGATGACCTCCAACATCGAGCAGCACCGACAACGCCGCCACGGTCTAGGACATCATTTTCACCAAAGTCGTCAAGGCGCGGTTTGATGGTATGGACTGGACTTACCTGGAATGGGAAGATCAATATTTTTTTCGTGGACCCCGGACATAAGGTGAGCGCTGGCGGTTACATCGAGCAACTCGTGAAGAATATCCTCCTCACATGTCGTCGCCCGTACCTTCTTGCAAACTTTGTACTGCTACAGCATTGGGTTCCACCACATGGAATCGAAAGGCGTTGGAGAAACTCTCGCCTACTTGTAATGGAAGAGGGCTGGGCACCTAAAGAAGAAGGAGTATCCAAGTAGGTCACCTGACCTGAATCCCTTTGATTACCCGGTTCGGGCGGAGTTCAAAAGGGTGGTCTACGGTGGCAGAAAAATCGACTATCTCGCTGTTCTCAGGCACCACATCGCGGACGCGCGCCAGAATCTTTCGACGGCGCTCGTTCAGAAGTCTGTGGCGGAGTGTCATGATAGTAGTTAATATGCTCTTTGATATGGTGGTGAAAATGTCCGATGAGATTCAAATAAAGTGTAATTTATAGCGCCTCGAAAGTTAATGAAGAAAAGTGACTTTTTTGGCCCCCCTGTAGTGTTGAGTGAAGCTATTACCTACTACGTGGATTGTGCAGTTGGGATGGGGTCAAGTGAGTAAATAAATTGGTATCCGACCGGTCTGGGAGGATGCAAAAAGAGCTTCTACACCACCTGCCACGGAAGTCCTTCATGGGCTGAATCGTAGTGGCACTACGATTCTAATTGAAAATACGTACCGCATCTCAAAAGGACTGTTCGACGCAAAAAATCCGCAATTAATTTTTATAAACAGCTCAACAAAATCATGTGCTCACATTCCTTACACTGGAGAATCCACTAAATACAATACAAAGTGAACGAATGACACCTTTCGGTTATGGAAAATTGATAACCTGTGAAGTTTGATCCCTATTAACACAATATATACAAAGAGATGAGGTCAGATTAACTCATCTAATGAGCAGAGTGAGATTATCTGTATCCGCGGTGGAGACTGCTTTTCGTCTACAATGGCGCTCTAACGAGAACATATTACTTACATACCATCCAACAAAGACTGCTCCTCTATGGTCGCCTGAAACTCGATCCTTCTCCTGACTGTAATTTCAGTGGAATGTCGGCAGTGGACGCAGCAAACCATCTAGGCAATTTTATTGCGCATTCTGAGCTAACTTTCGGGCTGCGTACATCATCGTTGAGTTGCTGAGTGAAACACATCGAGGGTCGTATTTCGGCTTTAGTTGAGCTAAGTTCATATTTTGCGGCAGCGTCCACCAGCGTCTACCAGCGCCCTCCAGAGCTCACCAGCGACAAGAGCATGGGAAAGCAGGAGGGTGCAAACAGATGAATTAGACGTGCGGCCTGAGCAACCTACAGCTACGCGCACCGTGCTAATTCTGTGCTTTAGCAGTTCTGTGGTGCAGTTGCACAGGTCTCCATTTCACGACGCCTGATCCAGCTGTTTGCTGCCTTCCTACTTCCCCATGGTCTTACTCTCGGTCGCAGTGAACGCTAGTGGACGCGACAGGACGCTGGTAGAGGCTGGCAGACGTTAGATGGATATTGATTTCCTAGTCGCATACGCTGCCGGGCGCTCGCAACGCTAGTGGACTCTGGTAGACGCTGGCAGACGCCGTCGCAAAATATGAACGCAACCCTATGTTTTCTCTGAATACTGATTAACTCCGTTTCGCGTTCCCTCTTAGTCGACCCCACAGCAAAGCTGCTGCTCTGTTTGAGAGCTGGATGTATCCACCTTCTCTCCCAGCCCTCTCCTCCCCGACCCACTTGACACAGTTCGCGAATTCTGTAGAAGTGCAGGTAAGTTCCTAGAAGGGGTTTGTACGGGAAAAAAGAATTTGGGAGAGGTTTGTACCATCACCCCACCCATTCTTGGTGCTTACATCCTGCCTATAAGCACTTTGGTAGGCAACTGCTTTCCAATTTTAGTTGCCTTCGGAATGGGTCAACCATTTGAGGAACAGGTTCACGTTCCGAGCTGCTCCGTGAGAACGTCGCAGTGCTCCTTTTCATGAATCTCGTGACACCTGTGAGGAACAGTTCTAATGAATTCTTGGTATTGCCATTGACATGACCTGCTTCGCCTACTGCCATTTGGTGAATGTATTCGTGAAACCTACGTTGCTCAGCCGGCTACTTTCTCCTCCCAGAAGATACATATGTCGCGCCGCCCGTGCCAGCAATAGCTGCCGCACTGGGACCTCCTCCGGCACCAGCATATGCGGCAGTCGGTGACGGTCCTCCTGCAATTACTGGTGCGCCACCTCCGCTTCCAACATATGCACCACTCGGTGACGGTCCTCCTGCAATCATTGGTGCACCAGCTGCGCTACCAGCATATGTGCCAGTTGGTGACGGTCCTCCTGCGATCACTGGTGCGCCACTCCCAACATATGCGGCAGTCGGTGACGGTCCTCCTGCAATTACTGGTGCGCCACCTCCGCTTCCAACATATGCGCCAGTGGGTGATGGTCCTCCTGCGATTACTGGTGCGCCACCTCCGCTAACAGCATATGCGCCAGCAGGTGACGGTCCCCCTGCAACTACTGGCCCACTACCAGCATAGGCACTAGTGAGTGATGGGTCTCCTCCGAGCGCTGGTCCACCACCTCCAGGACTAGCATATCCGCCAGCGGGTGATGGACCTCCTCCAAGCACTGGTCCACCACCTCCAGGACTAGCATATCCGCCAGCGGGTGATGGACCTCCTCCAAGCACTGGTCCACCACCTCCAGGACTAGTATATCCGCCAGCGAGTGATGGACCTCCTCCAAGCACTGGTCCACCACCTCCAGGACTAGCATATCCGCCAGCGGGTGATGGACCTCCTCCAAGCACTGGTCCGCCCCCTCCAGGACTAGTATATCCGCCAGCGAGTGATGGACCTCCTCCAAGCGCTGGTCCACCCCCTTCAGGAGTAGGATATCCACCAGCGGGCGATGGTGGTGGTGCCCCTCCAGCATACGGAGCTGGAGCAGCGCTTACGTATACCACTGGGCGCTGTGGCGCTGGTGGCCTGAAATATGGATGTCACCCGTCATGGCACAAGAGCATGTAAACGAATACAAACTCACGGTGCGCACGGAGCTGGTGGTTTGCATTTTTTAGGCTCCGGAGGTGGTTCTACCGGCGCCATACCAGGAAAACAGCAAAAATTGTCCATGAGGCTTTGAAATGCTGGGAAGCATGCCTTGGCTGGAACGGCAGTGAGCCATAGGAGAAGCACCGTACTAATCTGAACATGCTTCAAATTGTGGGCTGTGGGTATAAATTAACAAAACAAGCATTTTTGATTCCAAACCGTAGAACTTCACGAAACTGTTGCAGTGTGAGCTGTAGCGAGCAACCCTATACAAGTTTCAACAGAAAGGACCAAGGTAGCGACGCGGCAGTCAGGCGCAATGTTGAAGCGACTCCGCCCAAAATTACAGGTGTCTGATTCACGCTCTCCTTCGTCTGCAAGCCCTCTCGCTCGTTTTCTCTGACCTCTCTCACGACATCCACATTGGTTGTTTGCCTTTCGCGCGGCACGAGTAGGGTCTTATTTGCGCTTCTATTTAAGCTCTCAACAGTTTTCTTTCCTTTTGCTTCACGGGCGAGTCAATTAGCACATACAATCCTGTTTCTCACCCGCGTCATCCGCGAACTTTTCGCTGGCTCATCGCGGATTCTTGGAATGGTTTAGATCACATCAAAACCCATCTGAAATATATACTGCAGTAGCAAGTGTTCAAAGAATCGTGGCGCTTCAGACGCAAAAATATTCTTTTTTTCATGTGGTAATTCTGGATCTGCAAACGATGGCGCGCTAAAAATGAGGTCGCTCAAAGTATGAGAACTCGCATCTTTTCCAATTAATCCATCCATAAACAGGTCGAAAATATCTCATTGACTGCGGAGAATCATAGAACGCTTGGTATATTAACAAACCAGTGAGCCTAGCACTTGACAATGGTGCTTTCCATTCAACAAATACCACGCTTTCAAGAAGCTACGACCCTCCGAAAAAGGAGTTTCCATGAGTTTCAGAAGGGTGCCAAAAATAATCTGTTCCACCGTTGTGGGAAATATGGCATGTATTATTTTGAGCTTGACAGTGCTAGAAGCAGGCCCGAACTGGAGCTGCATACCCAGGGCGTAACACTTACATTGCCAATTCACAACGACATCCGTTTATCCGGAGACGAATTTCTAAGAGAGGGAACCCTGGTCACTGCCAAGGAAGCTTACTCAAGTTGTAAATCTTCCAAGGGGTAGAGGACGAAGCACATCAACAACAATTTCAGAGGGAATAAAACGAGAAGAAAGCACAAACCAACCATTAGTGGACTAAGCACGTCTCCTTCTTACGTCACAGCTTCAGCTTAGGTAAGCAGGAGAAGATGATGTCGGGCTGGGTTAGAAATTGTTGCAGTATCATCTTAAAGATTCTATAGATTGCTTATATAGAGACGTCATAAAGCCGGATTCAAACGAATTCGCATTCAGCTCCACCCCTTTCTGTTCTTGGCGAGAAGCCAGACCCCAAGTACCTGCTAAAAGTGCATTCACACGCGCAACATATCAAAAACCTGCCTATTCCGAATGATACATCTATCAGATGAAGTCCTTCCTTCATAATGTGTTGGAAAAGCGTTCAAGCTCTTCTCTATCTTATATGCGCAAGTCGCAGTGAAAAGAGGGCCACTATAGTTTGAGAAGAACCTATTAAAATGGTGGAAAAAAATTAGGTTAACGTTCTCTGCTATCGCTCCACAAACTAAATTTCCGATTACCCTAACGTCCGGTAGATAAGCCCCTCATTAGAAAGTCCGCGCGACATCGCGAACGCCGCGCGCGCGAACACTGGGCTGGCGTTTGAGTTGAAGCCAATAGCTGTTTTTAGAAAACTTGTATTGGAAACCGTGAAAAAAAGTCAGTGGAGGTCGGATGCTCATAGACGTGAAAAGGGATTGGATAACATATGTCTAGAACAAACAACAGTAGGAGAAATCCCGTGGTGAAGAGGGTCCATAACAACTGAAATTACGTTGCATTTTGTTACTTTCGAGGGTAATAATGAGAAAGGAAAGGAATAGACACAAGTCGTCAGCACCCGATATAGATACGCATACCGGTCGGGGGCAATATTGAAGGAAAACGCCTCAATAATGGGGTGCATCATGAGTAATAGAAAACAGGATTATTTATGCATTGCGACACTTTCGACAGGAAGGAAAGCAAAATAGAAACCTTTTATTAAAATCCAGTTCCCTCTTTCGGAATCGTCAACACTTTTCCAAAATTTTACTCCATGATAGGGGCTGTGTAAAGCTCTCCTGCGCTTAGCTCTATGTATTGTCATTCATTCGTTTTAAATCCTGTTGAACACTTAGTCTGTTGAGATTTTAGGATCTATTCTCCTAGCACCCATATTCTTTGAGGGCGTTCTTCAGATATCACTATTTTTCCCTTCGCTAATTGCCCTGAATTTTTGCGCTACTTTTTTGTCCACTGGTTGGAGTAAGGGATATCCAGTTTTCTCTGTTCGAAATCCTCTTCCTCGATTTAGTCACATTCATGGACGTTGGCTCTAGGCTCGCGGTCCTGTTTTTTCGCTTCTAACCAGTGTGCCGGTTCCACGTGGGCTGCTGGTATACCCTGTCTCGAAGTGTTGGCGTACCCTTATGACCACTCATTCACCTCCAAAGGCACAAGGCATAGTAGCTTCATCACCGGTTACTAGTATCTTGTGAGGAAGCCTTTATGATCACTATGATTCCATAATTTCTTCCTTTCTTTGTGGTCTATAGCCTCGTGGCCGAATGGTCTGACTCTTCTCCCTTCGTCTATACGATTCTCAACTCTTAAGTGCTGCTTTGGCTTATTCATTTTCACTCCTGAGGTGTAATTGTCTGAAATTGAATTGCAGTTGGATTTTTTCTGGATTTTTTTTTGTTTTTCTTTTGCCTCTGAAATTTGTAATCCTACATTGCTACTTCTTTTTATTTGAGAGCGTTGTATTAATGCATAAATAAAAATAAACAACTAAGTAATAAACGCTACTATGAAAACCTTTTTTGAAGTCCTTTTAAAAGAGCTCCCAATACAGGAGAGAATTGTCCTGTAGTTGTTTGCTTTTAATTTCTATTTCAATCTCCCATCATTTCCTTGCTTACCCACATCATGCTGTTTGTTTTTATAGTCACTTTCTTCAGAAATGACCTTCCCAAATCCACCTTCTGAAAGTAAAAAGAGATTTCAACTCACCGTGTACGATTTTGCGTTCGCGCGCGGGGCGATGGCGATGTCGCGCGTGTTCACAGAGAAAGAGGATAGGTTGAATTTACTATCGGAATGGTTCTCGTGCCAGTCCAGTGGTCACAAACACAACGAAAAACTCCAAAAGGAAACAAAAACTATGACGAATGTCTTCACAAAAGAGACGACTGCAGGCGTCGAATAGCTTGAAATTCAGCTTTCCTAGTTAGCTGGCACGACAGAGCACTTTCGCGTCAAATCAGTCAGGTCGTGGTAGCCCACGTCCTGTCCTATGTCCAAGAAACATCGCTGTTGGGGAATCCCCAAAAGACTCGACAGCTTGATCAGAGAAGGGAACTAGGCGGATCGTACCAATCCTGAAAAAAGGAGGAGGTGGTCGTACGCACTCGATCAAAATCCCCAACTACTGATGTGCCGTGCGTATGCCCTCCATTTCACGGCCTTGAAGAAACGGAGTCCTTAGCCGATAGATTGCTCTATTCCGTTTTATGTTTTGAGAACCATTGTTGCATCACGTTCTCAAGTGCGGAATGACACTCAATAACTTAATGATCCTCAAAACTTGAAATAGAAGGAAGCATTCTCAGCTGTGGCATTTTCGAACTCAGCTGTATCGCCCGTGCTCACGTTGATATCGATTGCTTGAGCTGGCAGTACTAACGTCTCCATTCGTACCTGCAACGTGCCAGAATTGTCCTTTGGTCTCTGTGTTCGTGATGAATTTCATACCAGTCGTTCAGAACTTTCACGAGAAAGTCTGATCATCGCGTAGGCGCTCGTCCGGGTGTTCGTTTGATATCCCTTGGAATCAATCCAGTCGGTAATCGCTCTGGTCCAGCGTTCATCTTCAGAACGCATGACGTGCCCGGCCCAACTGATCTTCGAAACCTTGCCAAATGCGGTTGCGTCACCCTCGGTGCACGCTATCGACCCTGACCGCATTCTCATCCTGCTTCAGAGTCTCCGAGGCGTAAGCTATAGCAGAAAGGACTACAGGGTCGAAGAACTGCGTCGGGCGTTCTTCAAATTCGCTAATCCCTCGATGTTCTTTCTTCCGAAATGAAGCCATGATCGACAGTAATGCGCGTAGGTTGCTATGAAAGAATTGACGTGATCCCACGGTGTTATGCAAAGTCGACTATCTAAGGAGGATAGGCTGTTGCACACCTCAGATGTTCTGAAGCCTAGGTCTTCACTCCACTGCCTGTACAGGGTGAGCCATAATTACGAACGAGCGCAGTTCCGTGAAGTCCCCCTTCCATTCTTTTATTGGTTCAGAATAAATAAAGCGTGTATGCGTCCAAAGTTCAAAGTACAGGATGTTTCCTTGCGCTCTCATAGGTAGGCTTCGAATCGCTTTTTCATACGGTCGACCGCAGATATTCATCGTCGTCATCAATCGGTTCAGGTTCTATTTGTCCCGGCCATCTCTAATTTACGACGTTGTTCATTGAGACTATTTTTTTCTTTTCAAATCTTACGTAAGTCTTTTCATACGGAAAATAAGATAGATTCCAATTCGGCACATAACGTCAGCCGGTCTTTTTGGAAGATTATGTACGGGATATGTCACTCTGCATGACAGCTATTTTCATCCGGAACTATCCGCAGATAGATTTTGACTTTGAATTTCAATTGAGCTGAAGTGAGAGAAAGAAAGAGACTCCGTTCCTTAGGGAGTGGCTCCCGGGCCATCATGGTGTTCAGAAAATGACTAATGGTGGGGAATCTTTGTGGAAGCATGAATCAACCGATTGAGTTGTAAGCTCACATTCGAATAAAATCCTAACATTGGACCATAGAAAGTCTCCCAGTGGTGCACGGCATCTACTTCCACGACTCCTTTTCGACCTGTTCGCCTCTTCGCTCAGGCAAAACCTGTCAAGTGCTGCGCTTCAATGT